TCAGTTAACCTGGTCCCAGGCCATGTAGGTCTTTAAAGGTGATAACCAACACCTTGAATTAGACCCGGAAGCAAACTGGTACCCAATGCAGCTCGCAAAGCAGTGGTGTTATATGGGTCCTTCTTCGGGCCCCAAAAATAGCTCGCGCGGCTGCATTCTGGACCAGCTGAAGCTTCCAGATACTCTTCAAGGGCAGCCCCATGTAGAGTGCATTGCAGTAGTCTATCTGGGAGATAACAAAGGCATGAGTGACCGTTCAAAGGCCATCCCGATCCAGGAAAGGGCATAACTGGTGCACGACCCGAAGTTGTGCAAAAACCCTCCTAATACTAATTATTAGGTTATATGTATACTAATGATGCCCGACCTCATATCAACAAATGACCTCACCCAGTAGCTTAATGTATCTATTAAACAGGAGGGGTAAGAATGTGGAACCCTGTGGCACCTTCAAATGAGGGGCCTTAGGATCAATCTCTCCCCACCTCAACACTGACTGGAACAGGCTATGGAACTGTCACACTATGCCTCCCATTCCTAATCCTGCAGTCAGTCGATAAGAATAACATGATCAATGCTACTGAAAGCCACTGGGAGATCAAGGAGAACCAGGACAGTTGCATTACCTCCATTTCAGCACTGCCAGAGGTAATCAAGGGTAATCAATGCTGTCTCTGTATTATGTCCCTTCCTGAAAAGGGTCCAGATTGTCTACTTTCTCAAGGGCCCACTGAAGCAGTAATCTGACTACTTTCCGTTTTTAGTTAGAGACCGATGGTAATGTTGTAATGTTGGAGACTAGACAAAAATTGTCCAGAACCATTGGGTCCAGAAATGGGTTCTTGACAAGGGAGGACACTATTCCAAGGCAGGTGGAATCATCCTTTCGCTTAGACCTCACCACAAATCATCTCCTGGGAAGCCAAACCAGGAAGGGTATGGATATAAAATACAGATGGTCAGGTTAAAAGTCCCAAGATTCCTATCTACCCTCTCAGGAGTTAGAGGGTTAAACACTTCTCAGATAACAAGACAAGACAGTGCCTCAAGTCAACTCACACAGATTTGCCTAACTGGAGTCTAATTCTGAGTGGATCCAAGCAACTTTATTTGACAGATGCCCAGAATATTCCTCACATCGGTCCTGAAGGTTACTCCTGTGACCCTTCATTCCCCAACAGAAAGCAAATCACCTTGAACTGGGCTACTAGACAGCTACATGATGATTCAATAAGAACAGAAAAATAAGCACATTTTGCCACTCTTATTGCAGTGATGAAATATCTAACATAGCTCTTAGACTTGTTTGATCAGATTTACTTTTTGTCTTTCTCCAATGGCACTCTAGGTATTTATTCCATCATTTCAACTCCCAAAGCTCCTTAGGAAACCAGGGAGCTTCACCCTTCATCACAAGAAATATAAACAATTTTAGTAATTTATCACCTTCTTTTAAAATACAACAAATAATCTCTTCTTCCCATATCCCATCTCTTATCTATAAACAAATCCTCAAAATCTCGTTATTTCAGTCCTGATGTCAGCAAAAGTCCTGTAAGGGTTACCAGAGATAACAACATATCTACTTTAGCCTTGACCAAATAAACCAACTTTATATTCCTTCCTTTTTCTTCTAACAATCTTGATCTTTAGTCCCTTCAAATAATGTCCTAGAACTTGGTTTCTTTTCATTTTTTCTTTGGCCCTTCTCACAAAATTCTTCAAAGCTTTAACAAGCCTCTTTTGTAAATCCAGTAT